AGTGGACTTGGTAGTATAGGTTAATGCTTGGACTGGATGATAGAATCATAGAATCATAGAATCATAGAATAGAATAGAATCATAGAATCATCTAGGTTGGAAAAGACCTTTAAGATCATCCAGTCATTAATTAATTAAGATCATTAAGATGATCTTAAGGTCTTTTCCAACATAAACGATTCTATGATTCTATGATTCTAAAGAATGATCAGCTATATCCACACAAGTCAGTGAAAGAGGCTAGGTGCCCTTCTCTGGCCCAGAGCGCATGTGGCACTGCATGGCAGGCATGTGTACACATGAACGCTCTCTCCCCCAGACAAGGTGACCTTATTCACAGCGTCCAGCGGGCGCATTCACTGGCCTGGGGTGTCCCCTGAACCGTGCTCAGGCCTTGCCTCGGTGAACGCTACTTGGCACAAGCCCAAAGCATGCTAGAGAGTACACTAACAACAATGCAGTAGGGACAACTCCGAGCCACAGCCCAACCTCAGACCCAGGCCCTGTTTAGCATGCCCCCTCAGCTACTACACTTCACAGATAGGTGTTGGGCCTCGGGTTTCAGCCTAGGTACCCTATCATAGTGCTCTTCACTTCTACAAAACATCCAGAGTTGCCCTTCTCTCGGTGAGGTGAGATGAGAACAATTATCCTTCTTTCATCAAATACTTCCTATCTTTATTTTAGTAAATTCGACACAGCAAGGTCCAAGCAGAGGTACAGCTACTCAAGTATGTATTAACTTGCTAGATTGCTCCCTCACATGATTTGGGCCCAGGTCAACTATTTTCTCCCCCAAAATTCCCAGGAGCAGTCTGCAAGTTAGCACAGCTGAGAGACCACTCTCAACAGGCAGTTAGGATACCCTGTTCTGGACAGGCAGAGTTGAACACCACCAGCATGTCTAGAATGATGCTAGCTCTGTTTATTTTACTAGTACAAGGGTAGCTATTATGAAGAGGATCAAGCTCCATGCAAATTGCACACATGTGATGTCCTGTTATCTTCTGTTCCAGTCCTTGGTCAACAGTCCTAATTCAAAAGCAAAGCTACCTACCTACCTTGCAGAGCTTAAGAAAAAGACAGAAGAAGAGCAAAGCAATATAAGCAGATCTCCTGCAAACCTAGATGCAATCATTACCATCCTGGATATGGTCTCCTCTATCCCAGCAAATGCAGAGGAGCTCACTATTCAAGTAAGGTTTTATTTTAAGTCTTACCTATACTTATCAAGCCCTTTGGCTCCTTTTGTCACAGAGGACGACATTCTCCCTGAAGAAATTTCACAGTTAGGTAGGGTCAGGAATGGAAAGTATTAAGGGAATGAGATGAAATAACAGCAAAGATGAAATGACAGCAAAGACAAAATGACAGCAAAGATACAGAAGAGTTTATGGAAAGTCAAAATGTTGAAGACAAGGAGCCTATGCATGAAAGAGACACTGCTGTATGCTTAGCAACTAGAAACCTCTAGGGACCCATAAACATCTCTAGCATTCTAAGCTAGAGAGAAGGACAAGGAATAATGGATGAAAAATTGGACATGAGCCAGCAATGTGCGCTTGCAGCCCAGAAAGTCAGTTGTGTCCTGGGCTGCATCACAAGAAGCGTGGCCAGCAGGTCAATGGAGGTGACTCTTCCACTCTGCTTTTGTGAGACCCTACCTGGAGTACTGCATCCAGCTTTGGAGTCCCTAGCACAAGACAGACATGGACCTGTTAGGTCCAGAGGAGGGCCACGAAAATGGTCAGAGGGCTGGAACACCTCTCCTGTGAGGAAAGGCTGAGAGAGGTGGGGTTGTCCAGCCTTCAGAAGAGAAGGCTCCAGGTAGACCTTATTGCAGCCTTCCAATACATAAAGGGGGCTTATAAGAAAGGCAGAGAAAGACTTTTTTACCAGAGCCTGTAGTGACAGGACAAGGGACAATGGTTTTGAACTGAAAGAGGGTAGATTTAGGTTAGACATAAGGAAGAAATTCTTTAAAATGACGGTGGTGAGACACTGGAACAGATTGCCCAGGGAATTTGTGGATGCTCCATCACTGGAAGTGCTCAAGGTCAGGTTGGATGACCCTGCGCATGGCAGGGAGGTTGGACTAGATGATCTTTAAGGGTCAAAACCATTCTGTGATTCTATGATTCTATGAGTAGGAGCAGAAATAGAAAAAAAGGTTGAAATAAGGATAGAGATCAAGCAAGGAAAATTAATTAGATGTTAAAGCAAATGAATGGCAAAACATATCTTAGAAATACTTGCAAACCTTGATTGTGAGGTACAGAGGAAAAGCACTGCTCTTCTGAGCAGAAAAGTGTGAAGAGACTTGATGTCTTGTAGCTGAAGAAACCCTACATGAGAGAGAGCAAGAAATCAAAGATAGCATAAAGGCTAAGAAAGAAGGGAAAGAAGGCTGGAGAAGAAAAAATACTAAGTAATATGTAAAAAAAAAACCACGCAGCACCACTTTTGGAAACCCTAACTTGAAAATAGAGCATGCAGAGAGTTAGCCCCTGAAGGTTTCACATGGATTGAGCAAAATAAGAAAATGGTGGGCTTTTTCAAAAGTAATTTCTAGGACCATGCAGAAATTACCATCAGAAACAACAATGATTTGTATGGGATTTCAGTAACAACATTATTCTGTTGTTGTTCCAGAATTTCCTCTCCACAGTGGACTTAATTGTTGCTGATTCCACAAATAAAGTGTGGGAAGACCTGCATAAACAGAAGACAAACAGAAGTTCTTTGCTACTGCAGTCAGTAGAAAAATTTTCCCTGCACCTCCAACCAGTTAATAATATCATTCCTTCTGTCTTTGCAAACACCCTTCAGCTACAAGGTATAGTTGTCACAGAAAATAACACAGATTATAATAAGAACTTCATCAGTACAGAAAACCTCACAGCTAATGTGTTTATTGGTGAAACTGTAATTCAGACTCTAACCCAAAATTCAACCATTGTCAGTGTGATGTCCTCAAAATTTGGACATATTTTGCCCCAGAGTGAGTCCGAGTATGTGAATGGCTTAGTGATAGCAACTGTGAGCAGCAACAGAAACCAGAAGTTCAATATTAGCATGACCTTTGCAAAGAAAAACTCATCTCTAAAAACGCCCCAGTGTGTCTTTTGGAACTTCGCGCTCAACAACGATAGAGGGGGCTGGGATACTCATGGTTGCATACCCACAGAAGCAGAAGATTATGTCAATTGCTCCTGCAATCACTTGACATCATTCTCCATTCTGATGGCACCTGGTAAATACTCCCAGGTAATCTTTGAAGATTATATTACCTACATTGGCCTGGCCACTTCAATCTTGAGTTTGGCGGCCTGCATTATAATTGAATCCTTAGTCTGGAAATATGTGACAAACACCACAACCTCCTATATGCGCCATGTCTGTATGCTCAACATAGCTACATCACTCCTGATTGCTGACATTTGGTTCATTGTCACTGCCTCTATCAATGACCAAAACCAACAGATGAACAGAGGTATCTGTTTTATGGCCACCTTCTTCATCCATTTATTCTACCTATGTGTCTTCTTCTGGATGCTCAGCCTCGGACTCATTCTTTTGTACAGACTGGTCTTCATCTTACATGACACAAGCAAGACCACTCAGAAAACAGTGGCATTCTGTCTGGGATATGGGTGCCCCTTTGTCATTGCAGTCATCACCATTGCTGTCACACTGCCAAGGAACAGTTACACCAGAAAGGATGTCTGCTGGCTCAACTGGGAGGACAGCAAAGCTCTCTTGGCCTTCATCGTACCTGCCCTGATCATTGTGGCTATGAATTTGTTCATCACTGCAGTCGTTATAATAAAAATACTGAGGCCAACTATTGGGGATAGGTCAAAAAAGCAGGAGAGGAACTCTTTGTTTCAAATTGGCAAAAGTGTGGCCATCTTGACACCACTGTTAGGCCTCACCTGGGGATTTGGCCTTGCCACTATCTTCAAAAACAGCCATCAAGCTTTCCACATTCTCTTTACTCTGCTCAATGCTTTGCAGGTGAGTTACACATATGTATGGTTTTGTTTCCTCTATGACCATGTAACATGTAGTGACATTCCTGCAGTGCTGTGCTTACACATCCTTATTCCCAAAGGGCTCTTTGGGAAACCCATTCCAGGAATTCAGCAGTGTTTCGCATTCTCAGCTGCCTTAACAGATGTGCCTTACAGATAAAGCTGACATAAATTCCAACTTTGCCAGTAGCTTTGGGAAGAACTTAATTCCTGAAGGTCAGGAAAATAGCCCTGTTATGTTCACATGGGCAAGCTTCAGCATGTTTGGTCTCATTTACAGTGCATCTGGAGGCATCATATTATGCTCTTGTGGGTTCAAGTAATAACCAACATGAAAGTCACCAAGAACAGCTGAGTAGTACTAATAATAAAGAGAAGAACTGACCAAATTACACATGACTGAGAGTTTTCAGTTAGCACGATTTTTACAACAACATGTTTAGGTGGCCAGTAGGATCCCAGTACAGTGGGATTTCTTAAGGACACAATAATTATAAATACTCTGTCTCTTAAGAGTCACCTCAAAATTGTATGCTTCAGACAAAACTCACTTGCCTTTTATATTGTGAGCCTGCTAGCTTATCTGGGGAGCGTAAGCAGGGCATGTCTTCCATACACAAAGGTCCCTTCTTCCAAATATGTTTAGTGCTAGCAAACTATCTGTGTCACTTTTGTAGACCAGAAATACACACAGTTTAAGTAGGCCAGGCCTGGAGAACTCCTACCTCATCAGCAGTCCACTATGTGAGATGCAGTTAGAAAAATGCCCTCTATCAAAGAGTTCGGAGTTCAGATAGTCAACATGGACAATGTTTGAGATAATTATGAGGTACTGCAATTAAAATGTTGGTGTTATCAAACTGCATGTAATTATCTGTCTCCTAGGGATTATTCATTTTGGTGTTTGGGACTCTCTGGGACAAGAAGGTAAGAATTCAAACTATTTCTTATATTATGTGAAAGTACTGTTGGAATTTGAACATAATTGTATTTACTGATTGATTTTTTTTAAAAAACAAATAGATACAAGAAGCCCTGCTGAAGAGGAATTCAATGTCCAAATGGAGTTCACAGCAAACAAAGGTTAGATCCTTGACCTAAGAATGTATGTCAGAGTTACTGCTGAATAGTCTAACATTCTCCAAGTGTCTTTTAAGTCGAATGCACTTCATATTCTGAATTATTTATTAGAACTAGTCAGAGAAAGATAAGACACTAACAATGTAAATATGAATATACCCCCTTTTTCAAAGTTCATTATTTCACATATAATTGGTAAAAAATGGTGGACATTTGTTCTAAATTCCACAAGAAATAAACCACAAAATGCAACTGAAACTTTAAGTTAGACAACAGAAAATTTCAGTGGCACCATTATTCATTCACAACCTAAGAAAAATGCAAAGGGAACTTCTTGGGGAAGATGCCCTTCAGCTATGAACAGGAAAGGATGGAGATATTGCGACTTGAACTCATGAGACAAGGAGACATGTTAGCCTCCACTCTATGCTGGGAACAGAAAATGAGAGGAAGTATGAATCTTTTGTCAAAATCATGTCTACATGTGGTAAAGACTCAGATTTCAATGAGCAAAAGATAGAACATAAATGAATGTGGTTTGGGAACCAAGTGTCCTGGACACACTCCTAGAACAGGAAAGACTTGAGTTCAATACCCAGCAGATTCCTGCATTTAAGACAAAATATTCAGTGCCTAAAAAAAAAGAAATAATCTTGCAAACAGGGACTAGATCCTTAAGGAAGATCCTGGAAGGCTTCTCTCCCATCCGCAGAGACTTTTTCTGGACCCATGACTCTGGCACTCCTCCCTGCATTGAAGCACAGCTTGAATGGGTGTCTGGAAATGCCTCTGCTAGAGATAGGCATTCGCATTAAAGGGTGAAACCAGTTCCACTTCCATCTTTGAAAGAAAACATAAAGTTTGCACAGTGCCTCAGGAAAATGACTGCTGAGGAATACAATTAGGACAGAAATGCAGGCCGTTCTGCTGATCAGAGATGTCACAGAATCATGGAACAGTTGAGGTTGGAAGGAACATCCAAAGATCGTCTATTCCAAACCCACTGCTCAAAGCAAGGTAAACTAGAGCAGGTTGCTTACGATATAGTCCCATCAGGTTTTCAGTGTCTCTAGAGCTGGAGAATCCACTAACTCTTTGGATAAAAAACTGTGGTGTTTTGCCACCCGCAGCATAAAAAAAAGCTTTTTCTTATGATTAAATGGACTTTCTTCCATTTCAATTTGTGCACCAGAGATCAAGACTGAAAAAAATTACTCAGTGGCTGTTTGAAAGGGTAAACCAGGGCTCAGTTGCTATAAGCTACTGGGCAGCCATGGAGCTAGAATGTCTTGTGTCAGCCATGTGTCTGCTCCCTTCACACCTTCTGATCTTTAGCAGATCCTGGTTCCTCCCTCCCTGTGTCCTTCACCTCCACAGGTCTCATGGCACCATAGGCAGCATTATTTGCTGCTGGAATTAATCTCAGCGTTGTGTAAGAATCATGGCTTTTTAAGACTAAATGGGATGTACCTACAGTGAAACCGAACTCCTTTCAGAAAATCATTTTCCAGTTTTCCATGAAACAGTCTCTTAGGACTGACATCTCAAACACGGGTCCAACTGTGATTTGTGAGATGATTCACTGTAGCTGCATGTTTACACAGAGTTTATTTCTCAAATGATCTTGCATGTCGCTCAGCATACCTATGGGCAGTTACCACCCTCCCACCCCATGGTCAGGTAGAGCTCAGGGCCATCCATGTCCACTTGGGTTTTGAGTAGCTCCAAGGATGGAGACTCCACAATCTCTCTGTGCAGCCTTTTCCTGTGTTTGACCACCCTCACAATGAAAAAGTTTCTTCTTAAGTGGGATTTCCTATATTTCTACTTGTTCCCACCGCCTCTTGTCCTTTCACTGGGCACCAGCGAGAAAAGTCCTGCTCTGTCTTTACTCCTTTCCAGTCAGACTGCTCCCAGCATATCTTGGTGCATGGGGGACAGGGACAGGAGGACTTGGCATTTCCCTTTGCTGAACTTCATAAGATTCCTGCCATCCCATCTCTCCAGCCTGTTGAGGTCCCTCTGAAAGACAGCAGACTCATCTGATCTATCAGCCACTCCTTCCAGTTTTGTATCATCTGCAGACTGGGTGAGGGTGCACTTTTCCTATCGTCTATATCATTAATGAAGATGTTAAAACAGTATTGGACCCAGTACTGACCTCTCTGCATGTCCCCTCCAGCAATGTGCTGAAGGCCTGGGAGGAGGCAGCCTGTGATTAGCCAGGCAGAGCAGTGCTGTAAGTTTTAAGTGCTCCAACCATCTGCCACATTCAGATCTTGTGTCAGGACAAGACAGGAAGGAGGCAGTTTCTGTCTCACATTTCTTCATTTAGGATCCCCAGAATCATCCCCTTGTTTTTTTTTTTTTTACTGGTGCTCCCAAGTATTCCAGCATTTTCTGCAAGAGGATTAACCCTGGGAATCCAGGTCTGGGAGCACTTCCTAATGCATTTTTAAAGCACCGTTCTTTCTTTCTGGCTTGAAAATGACATCTGCTTGATGGGGTGCTATTCTGACTGTGGGAAAAACTCCTTTTTCCAGGAAACTGGAAGGAAAGAATAAATGATACAACTATCATTAAGCATGTCAGTTTCTTCATTCCCTCTTGTACTGACACACCTAGCAGAGTAAAGTAGAGAGAACAAGTTGTTAAGTCTTGGACCCCAATTCTAAATTCCTTTTCAGACAAAATCTCCTGGGCCAGGCACTTGCAGCTCTAGCTGACACTGTGGAAGCTGCCCCAGGCAGTAGGAATTGGTATATTTCCTTGGCAGTTCTGCTGATAAGGAATAAATAAAGAAAGATCAAAGTCTTTGATCAAACTTTTTAGATGTGATTCATTTACCTTCTTCCTCTACCACCTTACGATATAGGTGACAATGCACAAAACTGCCTAATTTCCCCCACTGTGGTGCAACCTAATGAATAGAGAGGGATTGAACAGAGCAAGATGTGTTTTCCATACTTTTTTTTAAGGCATCTTTTGGAGGAATCCCATTAAATTCTCAGACCACTCCAGAATCAAAAAAAGAAACTTCATTTCAGCAGCAAAAAGTTTCTTCCTTCCCATCTGGACTGTAGAGTTGTGTTCCAATGCCCTCTAGTGTGTCAAGTTAAATTTGCCTCTGATTATCTCAGGCTATTGGCCTTCAACAATCATAGAATCATAGAATCACAGAATCATTTAGGTTGGAAAAGACCTTTAAGATCATTCAGTCCAACCATTAACCTAACATTACCAAGTCCACCACTAAACCAATTAATCATCCATTAGCATATAAATCCTAGCTTTTCTGGCTACCTTAATGGATATACTCCTTCAGATAAGGGACCAGAACTTTGTACTGTCTGATATGACAGACTCTGGAGCCTAAGCCATCTTCCCCAACCAACCGTTAGAGACAGGTTGGTTGTGTCCTGTAGTTTCTTTTAAAGTTGATCTCCTTCATCACCATCATAAACATGCAAATGGGTGATTTTGATGCCTCACAAACATCTAACTTGCTCCTCTGTGGATTGCCTGCTTGTACTACTGAACAACATTTTATTGTAACCTTTTTTTTTTTTCCCCTCAATGTGGCTAAAAAGAAAGTTCTAAGCTTTTGACAAAAAGCAATTTTCCCTCTTACAGTCATCCTCCCTGATCCTGGTGACGCCAATGCTTGCTATGACCTATCCATTTTCAAGACCCTTTAACAACTTACGTGGGAAAGCAGGTAAGTGACAACAGATCTCTCCTACTGAAGCACAAACAAAGTTTTGCCTGTGTTCTCACTCTCAGGGTCTGTCTATCCTGATATCAACCTATTTGTCTATCCATCCATCCACAGATGGTATTGCAGCTTCTAATACAAAGGAACTGTAATAAGTCATTGGAATCACTAGCATAATGTCTCATGATTGTAGCATAATGCTAGCAGTGTAATTGTTTAACACTAAAAAAAGTATTGGATGGTGGCATGTTTCACCAGTCCTAAATCCCACTAACTGAGCTTTGTTTTGAGCTTAATGATACCATGACACAGTGCTCCTCAGTTCATTTACTGTTCATGTACTTTTCACCACCTTGGAGCTGTATCTCTTCAAAGGTTCTCTGGCAGCCATTTTATGGACGTCATCATTTCAGTTATGACTTTATTTTGCAAGAAGCATTGCTGAAAATATGAATAATTTCATTCCTAAATGTGTAATCTTTGCATCCAACCATTGTTCAGAGAAGATGGTGACATTTGGTCAAAGTGGGATATGAAGGAGTTCAATGTATGCAAGCAACTGCTTTTTAAGAGTCTGTTTATTAGTTAGATAATGAAACAAGAAGTTGCTCTCTGACTGTGCTACAGTAAGTTTACAGGAGTACACTAGCCAGATACAGAGGCCTCCCACCACAAGAATGAGATATGCCCACAACTGCCTTCCATGCTGCTGCCACCTGAAACTCCCATATTATTAGCACTCCCTTCCACACTCTGCTTGTGGGCTCTGTGCACCTGGGTCTTAGTTCAGAACCTCATGGTCACAAGAGGGAGGGAGCTGGGATTCATCTAGATGTGTCCCCATGCTCAAGGAAGACCAGTAAGCCCCTCCATTTGTGTGAGTAAATTACAACCCTATGGCATGATCGGCAGTTCAAGCTGACATATCCTGGCTGTGTCACCGAACACATTGATTTCTGTGGTTGCTTGTGTTGCTGTAATCCAGGTAGTATCAGGGCTGCAGACCAAGTCAAAGCCACCTGGGTCATCAGGACAGGTCTAACTGTCCTTACTTTGGCGTGTCAACATGTACCAGGCTATCTGTCCTTATGTCTAACCACTATGCTTTCTTTTGCAGGAAAATACAGAGTGTCTTCTTCAGAGCCATCCAGCTCTTTCTCTGAAAACACTTCCAAGTCATATTCTTTGCTTAACTGAGGCACTGCAAATGCTAAATCATGTAACTCTGAAAGGACCTCTGCCCTTTCCAAGACACACACAAAAAGTACCTGTGAGTCATCAAGAAGTGGACTGCTTCACTTTGACTAAACTGTGCCTTGGTGCATTCTTCTGGATTTCTGGTTAATGTGTAAGGCAGGAAGCTTTGAGAGGTGGAATTTTACAGGGGCTGCCAATCCCAGAAGATGACAAGGTGTTTCAAACTCAGAAGGATTTGAAGGCCTTCAAGTGCTGGAAAAGACATTGGCAGTAAAGAATTCTCAGCCTTTAAGAGGGTGCTTAGCACTATGCAGTACTGAGCCATGAATTCTAGTGCTATACTTAGCTGTTGTCCAGTGGCTTTAGTATTTCCCCTATCAACTCTCTGAATGATTCCGAAGGCCTGTGTAGCTACACAAGTACCTCATAGCTTCTCTCCTCATATTAGAGTCTGGAAAAGGCATAAGGTATAGTGCTCTCCACTTTCTATTTAAGACTTTCTGGAACCAAAGATTCACAACTGAGAAGGTCCATTTCAGATCTTCACTTTTGACTTAGATAAAATGAAGATTCTGATGATTCCTGCATGGTCTTCTTTCAGATGGAATGTACTGAAAGCTCCATGTGGCACTGTTTTGAAGAAAAGGAAGCTTTATATCCTTAACTATAATTGTCCTTCTTTCGATATGTAATGTGGTAAGACAGAGATGGTTGCCCTCTACCACAGGGGGGACTGCATTTATTTAATGCATAGTAATGTTAAGTATGCAAGGAGTCTCTTGTGTAAAGTCTGTATGTTTGGGCCTCCTCTCAGAAGAGAATCACACTTGGAGGGCTCAGAGAGTCAACTCTGCAGGGAATATAAACTACCATGTGCCAGGCAGGATGAAAATTTTTGTATAAATTACTGCTCTAATACTACATTTGTGGAATCAGTTATTTCTAAGCCTGTATACCTTTAAAGGCAGGACTCCTGTCTTAAGCAGAGGGCTATGAAAGAGCCTGCAAAGTATTTATAGTGCACACAAATGTTACAAAACTTAGTGTGAAATATGATAGATGGAATCATGAAGGTTTAGATTGGAGGCCGATATCAAATACTGCTGTCAGGTGGTGCAGCCCCATTTGGTTATTGGGGAATCAGGCCTATGTTTACCAGTGGTGAACCTGCTCCCAGGACCTTAGGATGAACCGGGGTGAGAAACTGTTGCCTACAGTTACAGGCATGTGTGATGGTTTGGTATGGGCAGGTGGCGATGACTGAAGACAACAAACATGCATCAATCATGTGTCTTACTTATATTGAAAGCAACTTCTTTTTGCTTGAAGATGTGGATATAATACTAGAACACAGTTAGAGATTAAGAAATATTTCAAAATCCAGAATCTCTTTGAACTGCATGGCCAGTGGAAACTTGAAAATCAGACCTCTGCACATTCTTCTAACCCAAATTTGGCTTTGGACAGCCATTTGGTCTAACCCACTCTGGAGGTAGCTTGTGCAATATTGACCTGCTGCAGAACCATCCACTCCCACTAAGTTAGAAAAGGCTTTACATAAACTGTAAAGTATGAGTCCCTGTAGACAGCACAGTCCCACCACACCTTATCGCTGCAGACATTTCACCTCTGAGGTTTCACCACACTTCCCAGTTTAGCTAAGCGTGGGTCTCAACCGTATGTGAATGAGAAACCAGGATGTGATGCTGAGCTGTCTGGCACTGAAGGGCCATCTTTGGGTGGATCTTCAATGGCAAGGTCCTTGCCAGAGTTACAAAAGCCATGACAGTTCATGAAAGAAGCAGCTAAGAAATTAACTGTGCCAGTCTTAAAGACTTGGGATGGAGCCTTCACTTGTATTTATACACAGATCAAGATAAAAGGGGAGAGAAGAAAAGGTGGGAGGGAGTGCTGAATGGAGGAAGAATGGGAAACGCATGGCAGCAATCACCCTATACCCCTCCTACCCACTCTCAGCAGCAAGAACTACGTCTTTGGCACAGGCAAAGTGGGCAGTGGGCTCACCAACAACTTGCTCCCCTGAGGAGTCTGGTCAGCAGGAGCAGGGAGGTGATTGCCCCCCTGTACTCGGCGCTGGTGAGGCCGCACCTGGAATACTGTGTCCAGTTTTGGGCCCCTCAATACAAGAAAGACATTGAGGTGCTGGAGCGTGTCCAGAGAAGGGCAACAAGGCTGGTGAAGGGTCTGGAGCACAGGCCTTATGAGGAGCGGCTGAGGGAACTGGGCTTGTTTAGCCTGGAGAAGAGGAGGCTGAGGGGGGACCTTATCCCTTTCTACAACTACCTGAAAGGAGGTTGTAGCGAGGTGGGTGTTGGTCTCTTCTCCCACGTAGTTAGCGATAGGACGAGAGGAAATGGGCTCAAGCTGCACCAGGGGAGGTTTAGGTTGGATATTAGGAAAAATTTCTTCACGGAAAGGGTAGTCAAGCATTGGAACAGGCTGCCCAGAGAGGTGGTGGAGTCACCATCCCTGGAAGCATTCAAAAAATGGATGGATGTGGCACTGTGGGACATGGTTTAGTCTAGTCTACCCTTGATTGGTTTAGTGTGGACTTGGTAATGTTAGGTTAATGGTTGGACTGGATGATCTTAAAGGTCTTTTCCAACCTAAACGATTCTATGATTCTATTTTGGTCAGCTGGCTATTTTTTGTCAGCTGGCCTAATCCTTTACCCTGAGTTCCCTTTGTCCTAAGCAAAGCCCAAATCCCAAAAAGGGGGATTCACCCCCCTTCCTGAAGTGAAGGCCATCACAGAGCTTGTTTCCTGATGATTGCTGTCACTTGTGTATCTCCCCCTGCTTAACTGCAAGGCATTAAGTTAAAGCACTTTGCAAAAAACCCTACCAGGTTCACCTAATCTCTGGAAAGGGTGGGATCTCTCCCTTACCCACCTTTTATAGCAATAGATGAAGAACAGTCACTGCCTTGGCAACTTCCTCTGGTTTATTCCAGCTCAGGAAAAATAATAAAGGAGGGAATTGTGACATACAGGTCTCTGAAAGACAAACCTGCCTTCTCTCACACTCCCTGCTTAGAGTTTTTGGATTGTGACAATTGCTGAACAACTCTTACATGTGCTCAAGCCCAGATTTCACCCTTCATTCTTTAAAGACTATGGGAACCTTCAATATGAACAATGCAAAGAGCCCAAAACCATTCTACCCACACTACAGTGGCCAGTGAAAATCAGTGTGCCCCAGAACTGGGGTTTACAGGTGTGCAGTTCTGATACCTTTTATTTGGACCATGAAGCCAGTTATGCTCTGTTCTCTGATGTTTTCACAGCTCAGCAGTCTGGCCAGCATGTTTATTTCTCACACTGCCCCAGGAAACATGTTCAGGAAGCAGCTGCATTTTGGAAAAGTCAAGTTAGGCAAGAATAAAAAGTTGCCCCTGCCCCCACTACGTACAAAGTGCCCAGTATGTAAGATAGGTCCAACTGCATGTTACCCTGTAGTACCTGTGACCTTAGTTGGGTTTGTTAATCACATGAGCAGAAGAAATGAGATTCATTTCTTACAGGCTTGTGTCCTGTACCCTCCAGTCCTCTTCCCTTTCCAATCATCCAAGTTTCCATGGTCTTCCTCACATATCCAATCCTCACACAGCTCTGCCCCCCAAGATTAGGGCCTCCCTAAACCTCCCCCTGGTACCCGCAGTGCCTTCTGCTGGTGTAACCTCCTTCACCCACCCTGTCACCAGCAGCTGGTAGGATGTGCTGTGGGGAGGGCAGAGCCGCAGTGGTGATGAAGGTCTGGCTGGGGCTCGCCAGGGGCTGGCATGGTCATGTTCTGCCCATCCCTCCCTCCTGCCTCCATCCTGCCTCCATGGCAGCTCTAACAAGCTCTACCAACCATCAGTACTTGTGAACTCACGAGAACTTCTCTGAGGCTTTTGGTCGTCAACAGCTAACAGGATTCCATGCTGTTGAGAAGACATTGGGCTGACAGGCAGATTCACACAAGGACCATGTCATTTCTTGAGCACTTTCCTGTTAGAAAACCAGGGTAAAGCATATAGAATCATTGAATCGTTTAGGTTGGAAAAGACCTTTAAGATCATCTAGTCCAACCATTAACCTAACATTACCAAGTCCACCACTAAACCAATTAAGGGTAGACTAGCAATTTCATGTTTCCTGGCTTGGTGGCTGGGTTATTTATAATGAAAGTAAAAAGTAGGAATCATTAAGATTGGAAAGAATCTCTAACATCGTCAGTCCAACCATCAACCCAACACCCCCATGTCCACTAAACCATGTCCCAAAGTGCCATGTCTACCAGTTTTTTGAACGCTTCCAGGGATGGTGACTCCACCACCTCTCTGGGCAGCCTCTTCCAATGCTTGACCACCCTTTCCGTAAAGAAATTTTTCCTAATATCCAACCTAAACCTCCCCTGGTGCAGCTTGAGCCCATTTCCTCTCGTCCTATCACTAACTACTTGGGAGAAGAGACCAACACCCACCTCGCTACAACCTCCTTTCAGGTAGTTGTAGAGAGCAATAAGGTCACCCCTCAGCCTCCTCTTCTCCAGGCTAAACAACCCTGGTTCCCTCAGCCACTCCTCATAAGACCTGTGCTCTATATGATACCACCTACACCAAATCCAGGATCATTTCTTCTAACTTACACTCTTACCAAGTTCTTTTCAGCTTTTCCATTGGGATAAGTAGCGCCAATCCTCCCACTGCCTCTTCTTGGATCGCTCCTCCCTTTTTCCCACCCCTCTGCAGGATAACGAACGGAGCACGTCTCCGCACGTCAGGTTTCTTTTATCAGGCAGGAAAGAGGCTTTCCCCCCTGACCCACCCCACCGTCCTCTCTGGCCAGGGCTGCATCTCCACAGACCCACAGAGTCCATGGCCATGGCCCCCGCAGGGTGGGCAGGTAATGGCAGCCTAGTCTCCCCTTCGCTAATGAAACGGGGCAGTGAAAATCAGCCCCCAGCCCCAAGGGAAGGGGATGGAGCTGCTGTGCC